GCCTGTGGAGAAGGGGCTTTCTGACTAACTCGGTAGTTATCTGGTTTCCATTTAGGTTTTAGGAGACAGCAGTTCAAACGGGGAGGGGCTTTGTAGTGGGCAGGGTTACGGAAGTAGATTCTTCAAGAAGTGACAGCTGATTCAGAACCTGCAGTGACAGCAGAGTTAAGAGCAGTAAAGCTCTTTGGAGCCATTATGTAAAGCCCTAAAGATATTGTCACGTTATAGCCTCGTCAGTAAACAATATTCAAGATGATGACAGTGAGTCATCCAAAAAAAAAGGTTGCTCAGGCAACATCCTAATTAGGATGGAATATATTTTAGAAAAAAATTTCTGTGTTCAATGGTTTACAAACGCACAACTGGTATAATCACAGTACATTTTCATTTTGCTTCTGTGGGCCCACTCATTCTGAGAATGTGACAGTTCTCCTATAGACGAAAACTGTACTATGGACACTTCTCTTGTTTCTCTTACTTCTCAAAGTGGCCGAATTATTACCCAGCTCCTCTCATTTTGCGTGGCTTTTATTACTAGGTTTCCAGCATTCTGATCTATGTTCTCAGGTACTAATTCGTATAATAGTCACACTGTGCTATGAGATGGGTGTATTATTATCATCAGCTTTGAAATCGGGAAACAAGGTGCTTCAATTACCTGCTTCAAGTCACTCAGCCAGCAAGGGGCAGAGTGAGTCTATTACGCTACCTGACTTCTTCTAAATGGCAGGCCCGTAATGGGGGAGAGCTGTCCACCCCATCTCTACCTCCAGGTCTGAACTGTGCTTCAAATTACATTATTTTAGACCATCCACTCTCGTGTTTATTTTCCTCTGGATACTCTCCTGTGTCTCTCTACACTTGTGTTCCTCTGACACGAGCTTCATACTCTAAGTTATTTTGCATCTAATACTTCTGTCAACAAAGTCTAAGATAGTGGGAGGTGAATTTTCCTTTTGGTGGGCAGCCAAACTGGAGTTACAGCTCGTCTTAAGTTTTTTTTTTTTTTTATTCACCCCGCTTCTGTGGACTGCAGTGGTAGCAACTGACTGGTCTCCCTGCCCACCCTGCCCCCCCTCCCCCAGCCCTTACCCCCCCCCGGGCTCCCCCCTAATCAGCAATGAGAGTGAATCACTTCTCTGCTGGAAGCCTTCCAAGTTCTCCCCCACATTACTCAGAGTAAAAAAGCCAAAGTTCTACAGTCATTTGTCCAGCCCTCCTGGTGTGGCCCCCAGCTTCCTTTCCATCTTCACCCCCTGCCACTTTCCTTACGCACTAGGGTCCAGACACGAAGGCCTCTGATGTTCTTCAGACCTTCCTATACCCTTTGCACTCGCTGCTCCCTCTGCCTGGAACAGTTTTCCCAGAAATCCACTTGGCTTTCATCCCTTCCTTTGGGTCTTTGCTCAGAGGCCCCCCTTTCATCCCCACGCCATCCCCCACCGCCCCCCTTTTCTGCTTATTGTAAAGTCATAGCATCGCTCGTCATCGGCTGTTTGTTTCTTTCCTCTACCTCACCTCGTATCAGATGATATCCACAAGAGCTCTTCCTTTCTTATTAGTGTATATCCAATAACTAGGAAGGTGCTAGCACACAGTAGGTAGCCAATAAAGAATTGTCGAAGCAAGGTTCTTGTTAATAATATTATTAATATTACATACAACACCCGGTGCTCATCCCAACAAGTACCAACCTTAATAGCCATCACCCATTTGGCCCATTCCCTGCCCACCTCCCCTCCAGCAACCCTCAGTTTGTTTTCTATGGTTAAGAGTCTGTTTTATGGTTTGCCGTCCTCTCTCTCTCTCTCTCTCTTTTTTTAGTTCATTTGTTTCATTTCTTAAATTCTACATGTGAGTGAAATCATTTGGTATCTGTCTTTCTCTGACTGACTTATGGTGCTTAGCATAACACTCTCTAGCTTCCCCCCTGGTGTTGCAAACGGTAAGGTTTCATTCCTTTTCGTGGTTGAGTAAGAGTCTATTGTATATATACCACATCTTTATGCATTCATCAACTGACGAACATCTGGGCCCTTTCCATAATTTGGCTATTGCAGATAATGCTGCTATAAACCATCAGGGTACATGTGCCCCTTTGAATCAGTATTTTTGTATCCTTTCGGTAAATACCTAGTAGTGCGATTGCTGGGTTGTACGGTAGTTATATTTTTAACTTATTGAGAACCCTCCATAGTGTTTTCCAGAGTGGCTGTACCAGTTTGCCTTCCCACCAGCAGATGTTTCAGGGACATTTAAATCTCCTTGAATAACTTTACATTTTCTTAAATCCCTTACTGAAGTGGAAGGTACACTGTATCTTTGTTTGTTTGTTTTACTATTCTTTTATCAGAAAAGAAGTGAGGCAGTTAGCATGTGACTTGTTCCTAGTGAATCTCTAGATATGTATTTAGGGTCAGAGAGCTATATATTTCCCAGATGCAAACCATATCCTAAAAATTATATTTTATAGATTTATCGGGTGTCAAGATCAAAGTCTTCCCTGTACCACTTATGAAATTCACCCTCCAACCCTTTAGAAAAGCAGAACAGGTTTCCTGCCTCTCCAGTTTTCTAATTTTTTTCTGGGTCTCTGTTATTTCTCAAAGACAGTCCATTCCTTTGAGCCAACTGTGTTTCTGGGTCCCATCCCCTGGGTCTTTAGTGGAATCCTTCCATTCTCAGCATGAACTTGGACAGAACACTTCTGGGTAGCTGTCAGAACGGTGGCTTCTGCTCAGTGGAGAGTGAACAGAAATTCCAACAATCCAGTCTCTGCTTGCATGACGAGCTAGCTCTACAGAATTATTGTGACAGTTCTTCTGTTTCTGACTTTTCCAAGTTTCTTGGCTTCCAGAATTTTCCTGCCTCGCTGTTATCTCAGGCTCCTTGTCCATCTATTTTTAGCTCTCAGATTTCACATCCTGCTTTCTCCATTTCAATTTGATCATGTTAATCTTATTTTCTGCCTCAGTGAATTAAAATTGGACTACTTCCATTTTTTTTTTTTTCCTAAACCCAAGAGCTTCATTCAGGAAGTGACCTGAGTAGAGTTTTGTTTCGGCTTTTATTAAAGTAACATTCCAACTCTTTGTTCACAGCCTCACCTGCTGCTCCCCTTTCTCTTGACTGATTTTTCTCCTAATGCCTGTGAGAAGTGAGTAGATCCCAGCTTCCTTAAATGTGGGAAGTGCTGTGCTTTACTGAAACTCAGAAAATTCTCTGATTTCCGCGCCCCCCTGCCCCCCCGCCAGCTTTCTGTTAACACTCTTTATCGCAATTGCCTAAATTTGTCAATTACCTTATTTCTTAGAAGGATCACAGGTTTGATTCACATTGGATGTGGCAAGATCCATGGATGTGGCCTCCATCTTCACTGAAGGCACCTGTCCCTCTGCTGCTGCCATTATTGCTCTTAGACTCCTGGCCACAATGGAAAGGTCTGTACTCTAGAATCAAATGGCGTTCCTGGCTCTACCACTGACTAGCTGAATGAGGTTTGGCAATTTAAGTTCTCTGAGCCTCGATTTCATAATCTGTATAATAGCAATTTAAAAAAAAAGATTTACCTCCAGGAGCACCTGGGTGGTGCCGTCAGTTAAGTGTCTAACTCTTGGTTTTCCCTCAGGTTGTGATCTCAGGGTCGTGAAATCGAGCCCCGCATTGGGCTCCGTGCTCAGCACAGAGTCTGCTCGAGATTCTCTCTCTCCCTTTCCCTCTGCTCCTCCTGCTTGTGCTCTCTCTCACTCTCTGAAATAAATAAATCTCTTTTTAAAAAAAAAAAATTACCTCTAGGTTTGCGGCGATGCTTAAATGAGATATTATAATGCACAGCACCTTGAACAGTTACTTAGAATTATTTTTTCCTGTTCTATAATAGCACTAATTTAACAACTGTGGAAAAAGGGAAAGTTGTGAAACCTTTTTTTTTTTTTTTTTAAAGGCTTGGTTACTGCACCTGGACCTGGAAGACTTGTTTTTCTAGGTGAAGAAATATTTCCCCTGTGTGAAGGTTTCATAATCACCACCAAGCTGGCCCGAGTGCTGCCATTTAAAGTGGCTCCTCTCTTTTATCTCTGATACACCTGCACCCTGGGAACGAGGACACCGATCCAGCTCCTGGGACACTACAGGGTAATCACCAAAGTCTCTTCGAATTCTGTGTTGCCATGATCCCATGGTTTTGGATGCCCAGAGTGTGACATGGACACTCTTTGAATTTCATACCATGAAGAGTCATTTTTATTTCCCTGGGACCTCAACTGAGTTTAGAACAGGTAAGTGAAAGGGAAGGAGGCACACGGTGAAGTCGGCCGTAGAACCACTGTTCAACATGGTCATCCGAGAAGTAGAAAGGGAGCCTTCTTAAGCTTACCCAAGCCAGAACAGGTGAGTTAACCTGTGGAGTGGAGTGGAGGGTAGTCTTATACTTTAAAAAAATGGCCTCGGAAGGTAAAATTTATCAGAAAAAAAATGAATTCCTTAAAGACAAGGGCAAAGCAATTTATTTACGAAGGGAAAATGTTACCCAAGTAGAGAGACACTGTCTGGGAATATGAGCTTGAAATTTAAAAAAAAGGGAGAGGTAACTGACTTTCAATGAAGTCCTGTCTGGAAAACATGTCAGTACCACTACTACCCCCGTGATTCCTAAATCTAGACTTCTTTGGTCCCTGTAAAATTATAACACCTTTAGTGTATCTTTAACAGCTTTTTTAGGAACATATTAACCAAATGTGCAAGTTCTGATCTGGCCATAAAATACTAGGAGAACTATAATTCTCTAGGATTAATGAATAACATTTGTTTATTTGATTTACTTTATAAAATCATTCTAAAATCTGTTTACATATCTGTCCTCTCCAGGCTGAAATTTATAGTGGTTCAGCAGATTGTTTACTGTTTCTTCTTCTACTACTACTACTACTACTTCTTCTTCTTTTTTTTTTCCCATCTTTCCTGCTCAGTGCCCAACCCAAGTTCAAAGGCTGATGAGAGAGAAAAACTCATGAAGAGGTTTTACTCTAGGGAAAGTTGTTCAGTGGATGGGATCTTGGTGCATAGGGAAGGATGTTAGGCTCTTCCTGGCTCCTTCTCAGCCTCGCTGCTCTAACTGCTGCTCAGTCCACCACTGAGGATCCGGTCAAGACATTTTTGGAGAAGTTTAACTATGAAGCCGAAGAGCTGTCTTATCAAAATTCACTTGCTTCTTGGAATTATAACACCAATATTACCGACGAGAATATCCAAAAGATGGTGAGTTTCCGTGGCTACGTAGGGGTATTTGTGGCTTCTTAAAGGTTAGATTACTGCCTGTGCTACTGAAAAGGGAAAGCCAAGAAATGCTCTGAGTTGTGAGATTGGATGTTTGCCTCAGTATTTCTGATTCTGGAGTCCCAGATGACTAAACGTAATTGACCCTGGGACTCATTTGGAAGCTGTTACAAAATAATTCACTGGTCTCAGTCCAGATTCTTAGAAACAAGTGAACATGCTTTATAAAGTTACACCATAATTCTCATCATAATCAGCGTTTCAAAGCATTTCGCGGAAATGCCATGAGTTATTGAGTTAATAATTTTCCCAAGCCTACAATGTCAACAGGAATATCTGAAGACTCTCTAAAATAATATATTAACTGGAAAATGCAATTGGAGGCTTAGTGAAAAAGCTAGCTAGTAATTAAAGTAACCATGGGTCTGGAGACTGGATTTGGGAATTCCTTCCTTCATTGTCACGGAGCTCTAAGGAACTTCCAAAGGTCACAGAATCCATCCAGAGCCCTTGCAGAAAAACCATAATCAAGCCAGTTTTGACAAATCTCAGAATGCTCTGACAAAGCAAGATGCTTTGACAAGTGCGAGGATTTAGGAATTTCTTCTCTCACCGATCGCAAAGCAGTGTCTGTACACATTGGGGCTGGAAATCGAGCAACATTATTTTAGAAAAGATTTTGTATCACTTGTATGGCAATACGTTCCTTCACAAATGTAGTTCAGAAATTTTTTCAAATGCTGAGTAGGTTGCATGTTTAAATTACTGCCACTCACGGGACAGATCATACCTGAGACATACCACCTCATTTGAAATACTCCAAGAGAAGGTTTGCCATTTTTCTAACGCTCAAGGAAATCCTGGAGATTTTGACAGCCCGGTGTTGTCATAGGAGATCATTTGTTTCTTGTCTCCTATTTTGGTCTTACCTCTCTCCCTGTCTTTATTGTTGCTTTTCCCTCGCTTTTTATTTGATCTCTCTCGGAGGTGCCTAAAGTGTACCGTGTATTGGCTTTCATTCTCAGCCGGATGGTCCTGTAGGTGCTGGGGAAGGTGTACCGGCTTCATGCCTGAGGACTCCGGCGCCACACTGCTGAGGTCCAGATCCCGGCCCTGGCACTTTACAGCTGGGTGAGCTTCAGCGGGTCAGTTAATGTCTCTGCACCTTCAGGAGCTCACCTGTGTAGAAGAGCATCCCGCTACTCTCTGCCTTGGAGTGTGGCCGTGAAGCCCGAATTCATACTGAGAGCCCCCAGAGTGGTGCTCGGTGCTTGTGAGCCTGGGAGAACAGCTCAGTCCGATTGCTCTGAGCATGGGAGGGAGTTCTAGCTGCCCAAGAGACAGGTTACAGTTCTGCTGAGCGCCCTCTGCTGAGAAGGCACGTTACGGAAGGAGACAGAGCGATGGTTGTTGATAGCTTCTCTGATCATTGAAGGTTATTACTTTTGAATTGCAGTGGCAGATGAGAGCCAAGGCCAGAGAGGAAAGGGCATAAATCATGAAGTGTGGCCAAGCTGCAGAAAGCATGGACCCTTGAAAGGAAAGTGAAATTATTAGAATGCAAAAAGGAAGCAGGTGACCACTGGCGATGCCCAGCGAGGGCAGTCCGGTGGTCAGGAAGGGCTGCTGCTGGCTGCTGCTGCTTGGTGTACGCCAGGCACCTGGCTAAGAGAGCGTGGGGGTAATTTTGGCTAACTCTTTTGGTTTGGCGCAACTTCGTGACGTTTCAGATCTAGTTATAGGACCTGGGTGATAAGATGAGGTTTTTTTTCCTTTGCTTTTACTATAGAGAGCTTTTAATGACAGCTTTACTGAGATATAATTTATGCACCATAAACTTCAATTCAAAGTATGTGATTCAGTGCTTTTTAGTATATTTACAGAATTGTACAACCTTCGTCACCATCTAATTTTAGAACATTTTCATCACTCCAGAAAGAAACCACATGCCTCTCAGTCATCACTCTTCCTCCCAGCTCCTAGCCCTAAGCAACCACCAGTCTACTTTCTGTCTCCATAGGTTTGCCTATTTTGAACATTTCATATAAACAGAATCATACAACACATGGTCTCTAACCCTAACGTTACTTCATTGCTTTTGGTTGCCAAATAGTCTTCCGTCATCTGATTTTTCTTTATTTTTTATCGTAAAAATTTTCAAGCATGAAAAATAGAAGAGAGATGAGTACATTGAATCTCTTCATACCCATTGCCCAGTTTACAAATTATTAACACTTTGGCCAGTCTTTTTTTTTTTTTTTTCTACCCAACCCCACACTTACTGGATTATTTTGAAGGAAATCCAAAACATGATATAGTTTTATGTGTGTATTTCATCTTGTAGCTCTCAAAGTATTTTTTTTAAAACAACCTTAATAATAGTACCATGCTGAAATCTTAACAATAACTCCTCAGTATCATCAATTATCTGGTCATCATTCAAATGCACCCTACCGTCTCATTTTATTTCTTTTTCAATTTCAGTTGCTGTTTTGTTTGAATCAGGATCTAACAAGAGCCTCTCCTTGCAATCATTTTGAAGGATGTACTTTAAGCTCTCTTTTAACCTACAGAGTCCCTCCCTCACTTTTTTTTTCTTTTTTGCAATTTATTTGCCTAAGAATTAAACTTTGGGTGCCGTAGAAACTCACACTTTCTGGACTTGCTGATTGTGCCCCCTAAATGTTGCTTAACATGCTCTTTTGTCGCCTGCATCTCCTGTAAATGTATAGATCTAGGACAGAGGGCAGAGCAATTTTCTGTAAAAGGTCAGTTAGTAAGTATCTCAGGCTTTGTGGGCCCTATGGCCTCTGTTCAACTCTGCCATTCTAATGCGAAAACAACCATAGACAATACATGGAGTGCGATTATGTTGCAATTAAACTTTATTTACAAAATTAGATGGTGGGCAGAGCCCTGATCTATAGATTTGATCAGACTCAGGTTTTACCCCTGAGTTACTTAACAGGTGTGGAAATTGAATTCCAGTACTAGCATGGTGCAGAAATATTGAGGCAAGAAATGAACAAAAAACTAGTTCAGGTCCCGAGAGCTCTGGAAAAAAGAATAGCTTGGGATGGAACAGTATGTCCTAGGGGGTCGGAATTCAAGGCAACATTATGTAATTTTTGAGGGGCGGATTTAAAGTATAACACTTATGGTAGTGATAAATAAAATAAAACCGGTATCTTCAAAGTACCTCTATGTCGTATAATTAAAAAACGTCTAAGACTGGGCCCTTTTGGGGATTGTGAGTTGTTTCCAGAGGAGACTGAGAACAAAATTATTGCTATAATTTGGTATCAAAGTTTTACCAGAAATTTTGCTTGACAGTAAATCACCCTGGATTGGGTGAAGAAGGATAGGGATTTAGAGGTAAGTTGTGTACTGACAGATGAGTCCGTGCCGTAGACCAAACTCTTCTTTCCATAGCTCGCTACTTCCCACTCATGTGTTACAGAGAACATAATGCGTTGAATATCATCCATAGTCAATGAGTCAATGGTTAAAAGTGTTCGCTTTGGAGGTAAACATATCTGGGATGGCACGCTGGTTCTTTCAAATCACTAGCTATGTGTCCTACTGGACCCCATGCATCAGTTTCCTCGTTTATGAAGTGGAGACTGTCACAACTACCTCACAAGATTGCTTGTGAAGATTAACTGAGAAGTAGTTCCTGATGGGTTGTATGTACTCAATAAAGAGAGAAATCATTTTCCATTTTTACTGCCGTTATTTTCATCTCTTGTCTGATTCCATTGTTGTCATGTCCACACACTATTCCCATCACGTCCTGTGCCTGCTTGGAGCCCCTAAGTGATTCCCTAGTATTCAAAGGATACTAGTCAAATTCTTTGGCCTGGAAAATGCAGTTGTGCCCGAAGTCCTGCCTTTGGGATTGGTACTAATTATTTATTGTGTTAAAAATTACCACAAGCTTAGCAGCTTAAAATAACACACATTTATCATCCCACAGCTTCTGTGGGTCAGGAGCCCAGGCGCTGCTTACCTGCATCTTCCATTTCTGAGTCTTCTAAGGTTGTCATCAAGGTCCTGGCTAGTGCCGTGGTCTCAGCTGAGGTTTGACCAGGGATGAATCCACTTCCAAGCTAATGTGGTTAGTGGTAAGCCTTCAGATCCTTGGGTGCTGCGGGACTGAGGTCCTTAGTTTCTTACAGGATATCAGGCAGAGGCCATCCTCAATTCCTCCACACATGGCTGGGGAGACCATAGTGTTGTTCACAGCATGGCATCTTGCTACATCAGAGTCAGCAAGGGACACAGAGTTTTAGCAAGATAAAAATTAGAATCTTATATAACATAGATAGGTACATGATGTCACCTTTGAGGCATGCTACTGGTTAGAAGCAAATCATAGCTCCTGCTCACCCGTAAGGGGAAGGAAATCACACAACTGTGTACCACTGAGAGGTGAGGACCATGGGATCCATCTCAGAGTTTGTGTACCGCAGGAGCCAGGATCCAGATGCTGTCAGCTGATGGCCATAACCACTATTTACTGCTCTCAGCCCCCTTATGCACTTATGAATAATGGAGACAGAATGACTCTCTATCTCATGTGAGTAGGAAGATCAAATGAAGTACGTTATTCTGCAAAGTACTCTACACCCAACTCCTACCTACTTTAGGGTCTTCTCCATGAGTGCTTGGCCAAATCTAGTTGCCTACATGAGTCTTTCTTTTCTTATAGCAGAAACTGCTTGGCCACTGCAAGTTAATACATGATCATACGCTGTTATATTTCATTAATGAAACATTCATGCTGCATAGTTATCTTTCTGATAAAACTATAGTAACTTAAGGACAAAGTACTTTTTTCTATAAATTATAAAATAGCTAACTTTTAAATGTTTAGTTTGTATCAGATACTGTGATAAACATTTTATTATTTGTTAATTCTTCTCATCCTTACATCAAATCTTTGAGGTAAGTCCTGGTATTACTCTCATTTTACAGATAAGGTAACTGGCTCAGAGAAGGTAAGTAATTTGCCTAAAGTCACACAGCTAGTTAGAGGTATGTGTCTTCAAGAATGGAGATCTGAAAAAAAAAAAAAAAAAAAGAATGGAGATCTGACTTGTCTTATATGCTACCTCTTTTATATAGTCTAGAGAAATACAATATACAAAGTAATTGCTCATTTTCATCTTTGGTAAATGAAAATGAGCTTGTACATTGAGAAAAGATTATACTAGAAGAGTCTGGAGAAGTCAGTCCACTTGCCTATACTGATGTTCAAGTTGTAGGGGTGGGGGGGTGTGAGTTCCGGCATCATCACCTGTTCGTTGGTTTCTTTTGTGTTAGAAAATCACCATGGCTACCAAAAGGCCATATTCTGGGCAACCTTCTTTGGGGAATGTAAGTTAAGATCAGTCTCTCTGGTAAGTCATGGCACCATGGAGCTCACTGCAAACTGTTTCTCATTTCTTACGGTTCCCATTGTCACGAGGGGCTGTATTCCCATTAAGTTTGCTCTGAACTTTACTGGCCCCCCCCTTTGGAGCATTCATCCTCAAATCCTTGATTAACTCACAATGCTAAGGCATAAATTCCAGGGACCCATGTCACAGTGTTAAGGCCATAAATTCCAGGGACCCACAGTGTGAATTATCTGTGAGAATTCATTTCCAGTTCAGGGTTTAGGACCCCTGGGAAAACTAGGCACTGGGCCAGAAAGAGAGAGTGACCAAGAATGGCCTGGTCACTCATGACCTAAGCCTTGACCTTCAGCAAAGTAGAGAACTAAACCACTCAGGAAATATTAGATTTTCCACCAGATGTTTTCTGGACGGTATCTTCTGTTCTCTCTGTTCAAGCAGTGCCATTCTGACTTCAACTTTATTTTTTGTCGTTTCAGAATATTGCTGGGGCCAAGTGGTCTGCCTTTTATGAAGAACAGTCCCAGCATGCCAAAACCTACCCACTAGAAGAAATACAGGATCCTATAAACAAGCGTCAGTTGCGGGCCCTTCAGCAGAGTGGGTCATCCGTGCTCTCAGCAGACAAGCGCGAACGAGTATGTGAACATTCTAGCACTGACCCCAAGAGCTGAAATATTTGGGAAACATTAAACATTAATATCCCCATGGCTTCTTCTTTTATCTGCAAAGACAGTGATGCTGGCATTAGAAAGAGCTCTGTGCCTAAGTAGGGTGACCACAAAATTTGTCATCCAAACTGGAATCCTTTTGCAAGTGAAAGAAGTCACTGGTAATAATTATGTTAGGACACAGAGTTAAACGGGTGTTGTCTGGGCACGGTGTTGTATACGCGTGCTGTATACAGATGTCACCTTCCTGAGGACCAGGCGGCCTGAAGGATATGCTTAGTCTATGTCAGCCGCGCTCAGCCAGGGGCGATTTTGCCCCTCGGGGCCATTGGATGATATGTGGAGACATTTTTGGTTGTATAACTGGGGGAGGGGGCCAGCTATTAGCATCTAGTGGGTAGAGGCCAGGGATGCTGCTAACCAGTCTGCAAAGTACAAGAGAACTCCCAATGACAAAAAATTACGTGGTCCGAGATGTTTATAGTGCCAAGTTGAAGGAGTCCCGTAAGTGGTCCAATTCCTTCCCCCTTTTGTTCTTGATTCTTCTCTGTAACGTCTTCAAAAAGTGGCCAAGAGCCTCAGCTCAAACTGCTTTACAGGTGGGTGATTCGTCTCTTTCTAAGGCATCCGTTCCATATGTGCATCCCCCTCATTGAGGGAGATACTCCCTCCATCGAGCATTAAGTGCTTTACCTCCACTTTGTTCTGCCTCCTGGATCCAAATTGCTCTTTCCTAAAGTAGTTTTTAAATAAATGAAGGTACCTATTTTTTTAAAAAAGATTTTATTTCTTTGTGAGAGAGAGAGAGCACAAGCAGGGGAGCACAGGCAGAGGGAGAAGCAGGCTCCCCACTGAGCAAGGGAACTGATGTGGGACTTGATCCCAGGACATTGGGATCATGACCTGAGCCAAAGGCAGACAGACGCTCAACTGACTGAGCTACCTAGGTGCCGCAGCTATTTTTTTTTTTTAAACTAGTTGTGTCCTTTTTTTCCTTTAAATCTAGGCTAACTAGATTAAATTCACTCTGTCAATTTCCTTCTATACAATGGTTTCAAGTTTCCTAACCAGTCCTAGCCGCTGTCTTCATTTTGTCAGTAACCTTGAACTAAACACCACACTCTGAGTTGGTTCCGGTCTGCATGAAGGCGAGCAGGAATATGACATTCTGCACCCTGTGCCCTACATCTGTTAAGATAGTCTAGGACTATACTAGGTTTTTATTGGTTTGGGTTGGTTTTTCTGACAGATTCCATGTTGGCTCATATCAGCATCACTGTCGATGAAGTTTTCCAGATCTCTTCCTCTGATGTCGCTCTAAAATAATAGCTTCAAGATCCTATTTTTAAATAGGTAGTTTGTTCAAATTTAAAGAAGCCTATATTTGCCCTGTTAAAATAACATCTCTCACCCCATCTCTCTAGCCTGGGAGCCAGCAAATTTTTTTTCTGTAGAAGGAAACATAGTAAGTATCTTGGGTTTTGTGGGCCATACATTGTCTGTCACGATGAGTTAACTCTGCTGTTGCAGCAGGAAATCAGCATAGCTAATACATAAACACATGAGTGTGGCTGTGTTCCGATAAAACTTTACAAAAACAGACAGCAGACGGTATTTCGTCTGCAGATCATAGTTTACAGACCCCTGATCTAACCTACTAAAACATTTTTATCTAAAATATTTGACTATTTAAAATCAAAGTCTTCTTTCTCAGTTGCTTGTCCTCTGGAACTCTGTTGTAAGCTCTGTCTATTAAAAGAAAAAATTCATGATAAGGACAAAGATAAACCATATGGCACATATCTTCCTACAATGTTATTCCTATCTGTTATTCCACATTCTTTGGATTCAATTATCCAACTCGTTATTAATCCACTTTATCTTATCTACTCCATGCTTCCCCATGTTGTTCACAAAGACACCACATGAAACCTTGCTTGTTAGTATTTTACAGTCTAGACAGCTAGATAGAACCTAGAACCTGTATTTTTGTAAGATCCCAGGTAATTCTAATGTGCAGCCAAAGTTGAAAACCACTGAAATGCCTGTAAAAGCTTGGAGTGTTCGGGAAGAGAGGAGACTCAAGGATGCATGAGTTCAATGGAGAGGAAAGAGGGGAGATTGAAAAAGCAGGTAGACCAAGAGACCACGAGGAGTCATGGTAAGGAATTTGAATTGATTCCTTTGGACTATGGGACCTTGTTGAAGTTTTAAGCATGGGATCTATTTCATGTTTTAGAATAACGATTCTTATAGCAGAGTGAAAGAATAATGGAAGAGGGAAATAGGAGAAGGGAAACTGAGCCTTTCATTGAGAGCTTCTTAAATCAAATGTGGAAGAGAACCAGTTCCTTCCCTCCCCTCCCCTCCCCTCCCCTTTTCTCCCTCTCTTATTCCCTTTCTTCTTTTATTACCAATCCATTGCAGATCAATACTTGGTTAACTTCATTGCTCTCATGCCGAGGTGTCATGGAAATATCAAATGGTTCTTAAAGTTTATAAACATTTATTCTCTTTAAAAAAATTTATTCTCTTGATTCCTGTACTTATCACAGAATAGAAACAAACCATTTACTGTCTTGCTCTTGTCCACAGACCATACTTTGAGTAGCACTGCTTAACCCTATTACCTTTACTCTCCTTTACCTGCAGGGTAAAGTTCAAACTCTTTAGTGTAGCACAGATGACCCCTCACGACCTGGCCCCTGCTAACCTCTCCATCCATACATCCCCCACTTCCCTCAGTCAGCCTCACTATGCCAGTTTCCTTCAAGGCGTCATCACTTCTGGAAAATACCTGCTCTTTCCCAACCTCCATCCATCTTTTAGGCTCTGCCTTCTATCTCCTTTTTCTACTGGACCAATTCCCACTTCTCTTCCAAGACACCGCGCTAATGTCCCCTCATCTGTGAAGCCGTCCCTTAATCTCCAAGTTATCCATTTATCCACTCCCCACCAGACTTCCACATCACTTTTTCATGGCAGTTACACCACTTGTCACTTGGTCATTATGGATTTCATGGCTGCCTCACTGTCCCATGACTGTGGGGTCCTTGAGGACCAGTGACGTGTTCGTGTCAGTTATCTGAGTGTAGGGCACAGTAGATGTTCAGTAAATGTGTCCTTAAAGATTGCTGAACGAAACAACAAATGCCCGTGTCTGCCCATGTGTACCTGAGCAGCGTCCCCAGAACTCCGGTAAATCTGTTTATTTCAGTCACTCCACGTGTATTTATTATGTGTTTCTATCTAAGCTTCCATGTTAGTTGGTGGGGGAATTTAACAGAGATATTCCTACCCCTCATGAAGGAGGATACTTGGCAAAGATGTGAGCTGCTGTATTTTGAGGCATAAAAAAATCACATGGTCTAAAGGACATATTTGCCTTAGCACATTTACCAGTTTAAACATTGTTTATTATATTTAATTTGCAGCTGAACACAATCCTAAATGCCATGAGCACTATCTACAGTACTGGAAAAGCTTGTAACCCAAATAATCCACAGGAGTGTTTATTACTTGAACCAGGTAAGTTATTAATTTTGAGCAAGGATTATGAAATTTAACTTTTTTCCTCTAAGTTTTAAATTTTTAAAAGTTATTTGTTTGTTTGCTTATTTGAGGGAGAGAGATAGAGAGAGGATGTGCCTGTGCGTGAGGGTTGGGGGACAAGGGGAATCTCAAGCAGACTCCGTGCTCAGCTCAGATCCCTGCACGGGGCTCGAGCCCATGACCCCGAGATTATGACCTGAGCCGAAGTCAAGAGGTGGACGTTTAATGCTTAACTGACTGAGCCAGGCACCCCTTTTCACTCAAAGTTTTAAAACTGAGATTGGCACTGACTGATAACATGGTGCCTTTCAAATGGATAATGCAAAGATTAGGTAAGATTCCAAATAGGTGTTTTAACGCATAGATGAACTTTTAACTTTTAACCAAACTTCATGGTAAATTCTGTCACATTCCAAGGAGTTTAATTAAGTTTGCAGCTAAGTGATTTCAAAGGTTTATTTTCTCTGCAGAAATATTTTGAAACTATAACATGGACGAAGAAATCGATATATTGTGAGATTTCCTTTAATAACCGTATGCCTTCAATGTCTGCTAGCCTTACTTTTAATTCTTTAAAGCTCATATAATTGCGAATAAAAATATTACAAATGCATGTTTATTTCCTATTGGGTGCTTTGCAATGACAGGTTTGGATGACATAATGGAAAACAGCAGAGACTACAATGAGAGGCTCTGGGCCTGGGAAGGCTGGAGGTCTGAGGTTGGCAAGCAGCTGAGGCCATTATATGAAGAGTATGTGGCCCTGAAAAATGAGATGGCAAGAGCCAACAGTAAGTCCGCCAGCCTGTAGAGGTCCTGCAGCCCGCTCTGGGGCTGTGGGCTATTTCTCATGAGTTACCAAGGCTTCCCTTCGGTAGAAGACGTGTCCCTAAATTAATGTTCATCTGCTGAACAAATTCAGGTTATGTGTCTCAAAGAAGAAACTACTAGGGAGTAAGGTGTGCTGACATTCTACAATTTAGAGAACTCAGAAATGAGACTGAACTACAGGGCGTCAAACAAGTCAGTTGTCCAGGAAAGTATCAGGAACCAGAGATAGCCTGGAGATTGAGTAGGGATTCTATTTCTCAGATAGGGTGGGAGACAGAGACAATGTCGCTCCCCTAAAATCCTATCTGGCCACAGTTCATTCTCGAAGGCCATTTGTGTGTTTAACTCAGGGTGGTGTTCCAGAAAGAAAACAAAAATCAGATTAATTTAGGCTGGAACTCCATTCTGTTCTGCAGTTGTAATTATAACTCAGATCGCGTAGTCCTAAAACTCTTAACATGGGGCAGAATTTCCATATCTCCTAACTTATTCTCCTGCCTGAATAATGAGCTGAAGCTACGGCGTTATGAGTAACTTTATGCTTTGGTGATTCACTGCCCCCTGGGGTTGAGTAAGGAAGCATTTTTTTTTTTTTTTTCCATCTGTCGTTTCTAAATATCTCCCACTGCCGCTTAAAATGATACCGTCAAGCCACGGGCAAGCTGGAGACAGTAGCTCATCACCACATCCTTCTGTCCAAAGAGTTCTTTCTCTCTTCCTTCTGATCATCCATTGCCAATGGGCATGTAAAAGCAAAAAATTACCAGAACACATTTGCAAACGTTATTGTCTAATATCCCAACGCAAGCTTGTGTCTCCCGATGCCGAGATGCTACGTGAAGCCCAGAGAGATGCTCTGTGCAGACGCGTAATTTACAAACACACACAGGCCCACTGTGGCAAGGTCTAAGATGAGTTGAGTTAGATGTGAAAATACAAGTCCCTGAACCAAAGGAGGATTTAAAAACACAAATCCAGTCACATGTTTTAAAGCCAAAAATACAAACTCAAGTATGGAGAGGGTAGAGACTGAGGGTTACGGGACTTGTAACATGCCTTTGCCTCTTACCAGTGGGGTTATCCTGGACAAATGATTCCCCCATCTAAGAACAGCCTGCTAATCTGCATGACTTCCATGATGTCAATCTGGTTGGGCTTTTGTACTTATTAGATGAGGTAAAGCCTTCAAATTTCTGGCAGAGAGCAAGTGCTTGACAGATACCAGCTAGTGTTATTTGTTCCATCCCTTTGAGTTATTACTTAGAAAGGCAGTAAAAATGGGACAGATCTTTGGATTTTTTTAACCTCCCAGCAAGGTTAATCCGTGTATACAGTGCCTCATCTCTTTCTTTCCCTGATGTTCTCTTCCTTCTTTTTTTTTTTTTTTTTAAAAACAGATTATGAGGACTATGGGGATTATTGGAGAGGAGACTATGAAGAGGAGTGGGCAGACGGCTATAACTACAGCCGCAACCAGCTGATTGAAGATGTGGAACACACCTTCACACAGGTGTCCAAGGAACCATACACAGAGACAGACATAGGGCAGTGCGTGGGAAGAAGGGACAATGACCAAAGGCATTCTGGCTTCTTCTTAACACGCTCATCAGCCATTCCCAGAGTTATGGAATATTAGAGCTTGGAAAGATTTTTAACATGCGCTTATCATATGACTAAAGTATTCCACTCTGAGGTGTCTATATGAGAGAAATGAACATAAAGATCCATACAAAGACTCACACATGAATGTTCATAGAAGCATCACTCGTAATGGCCCCAAACTGGGAACAACCTAGTAGTCCTTTAGCTGCTGAGCTGTATCCATGAGATACTAAATGAAGCAAACTCGGATGTATTCATACAATGAAACACTACTCAGTAATAAAAAGAAGGAGCTACTGATACATGCACTAACATGGATGAACCTACAAATCATGGTGCACGAAAGAAGCCAGACAGAAAATGTCACAGACTTTATGATTTCATTTATATGAAATTTCCAGGATAGACAAAACTATGGTGACAGAAATCAGTTCAGTGATGACCTGGGGCTGGGGGTGGGACTAGAATTGACTGCAAATGGGGACAAGAAAAGTTTTGGGGATAATGGAAATATTCTAAAAGTGGGTACTAGGGAAGACTGCCCAACAGTATACATTTACTAAAACTCATGAAACTGTACATTTAAAAATGGGTGAATTTTATCGGATTTAAATGTACTTCAATTTAAGAACAAAGGAAGTAGGTAACATCTTAAAAAGGAATATTTTTTGTATCCGCTTTCATTTTGGGACCTGTATTCCTCCCAGGTGTGTTAATTGCTCTATGCCATGAACCTAGTCATCATTAATATCTGGGAAGAAGAGATCCTTTCAAACTCTCCAGTGCATTTGAGAGGAGAAGAAATTAGAATTTAGGGAAATTCTACTTGTCTAAAGAGGCTTCTGTCTTTAGTGTTGGGGATTGGAAATTGGAGTAGACTACTCTTGGTCTTAAATTTTCTTCCTCGGCTTTTCAGATTAAACCACTGTATAAACATCTTCATGCTTATGTGAGGGCAAAGTTGATGGACGCCTACCCTTCCCGTATCAGCCCAACTGGATGCCTCCCAGCCCATTTGCTTGGTGAGAAACTCCAGGAACTCTTTGTGTACTTTTTGTTCTCTGCTATTTTTTTCCTTTTTCTTTTTCTTTCTTTCTTTCTTTCTTTTTTTTTTTTTTTTTTGGTTCTCTGCTATTTCTACCAATAAAGGTTTTTTTTTTTTTTTTGGAATGAGGCCCAACATAAAACTTACGGAAAATTTTGTGAACGTAGTTGGTAACATTATTGAAATCACATTTTGCAAGGACTTTCTTCAACATAAAAGCCATTTAAAATTATTCTCTATTGCATTATTATTTTACACATAAAGGGTTATTATGTTGGCCACAGTCCAAAGGATAAAGGTATATTTAAAATAACTAGAGAAAGAACTCCAAGTTCAAATGAGAGTGGAAATGGGGAGAATAAGTTTTATAATTTAAGTTGATTGGCTAAGCTTTTGAGGTGGAGTTTGGCATTTTAGTATTATATTATCAGAGGAATAAAGCTTGGTAGGATGGGGGTGGTCAGGGAGGAGAGAAAGGCTTTCTAGAATTAAGGTATAGCTTGAGTGAACATTTCATAAGTTTATTCTAAACTGCACCAATTACTTTCACTGCAGAGTATGTGCTTTGGAACTGTATGGGTTACGAATGAAGTCTTTGCCATGAAGAAAAATGCCCAGCTTAAGAGGAGACTCAATCTTCCAAGAACTTTCTATCCTGCCACAGAGCCTTTGTAGACCATGAAAGACCTGAGGCCCTTTGTTGAATCTCCTAATTCCCTTCTAGAGAGTGGCCATCCTTCCTTCCCCTCTGCCACTCTCTAGCTGAAGCCAAATAAGATATATGTGTTTGAAAAGTTCATGTCATGCATACATAGCATTCCTACCAAGCTAAGTTGCTGGTGACTAATTCTGCTCGAGAGCCAAAGCTCTCTCGCAGCAGGATAGAATATAGACAAAGGGCCTGTGGAGACTTTTACTTTAAGGCAATATATAAATACTCTCTACCATGTCTTTGGTAGGCATTCTTCCATAATTCAGTTTCTGCTTAACCCTATCTGGTGTGACGTGGCTCTTTCTTCCTTCGAAGGTAGACTAATCTAGTGCTTCGTGGCACCAATTATAAGCAAGTTCTGCCTTATGTGGGACTGAATCAACGGCCCTCTAATGCCTTGCATTCATTTTATCTAATTCCATGATATGAGTTTCCTTGGAATATGTCCATTCTTCTTCTATAAGATGGCCTTCTGGATCTCTTAAAAACCCATCGTATAAGGCACAGCATAGTACCTGGCCCAAGAGTATGTAATCAATATATTTTAGAGGGTATTATTGTTACCATCATGTATACACTCTTTGCTTCTTTCCAGTGAAATATCCTACACAGATTTTTAGCCATTCTTTAAAATCTCAATTTTCTAATTGTTCTCCTTTGGACAAGCTAGGCCTTGTTGATGTCTCTCTTCACATATCATGCTCAGAACTGAACAATTGCTCCAGCTGAGGTTTGGCCAATATGGAGTAAAAATGGTACCATGCCTTCCTTTGTTCTAGAGACTATAATTCTTTATTATTATTTTTTTGCTTTTTCTATATATTTATTACAGGTACAACAGAGGTCTTCATAAATAGTTGCTTTTCTTTTTTGCTTTTTCTTAATTCTATTTATTTACCTTAAGATTACATTTGTGTTTTGGAAGCCATGTCACACTGTTGGGCCCCTTTTGGGCTTTTACACATAGACTATGTTTCAGCTCAAAGTCACTTATCACATATTTTTATAGTGGATACATCTTTCTTTAAAACTTAAGTAGAGGGGCTCCTGGATGGCTCAGTCAGTTAAGTGTCTGCCTTCGGTCATATAATGATCCCAGGGTCCTAGGATTGAGTCCCACATTGGGCTCCCTGCTCAGTAGTGAGTCTGCTTCTTCTTCTCCCTCTGTCCCTCCCCACTGCTTGTGCTCTCTCTCTCTCTCAAATAAATAAATAAAATCTTTAAAAATAGTGGTGCCTGGGTGGCTCAGTTGTTAAGCAACTGCCTTCAACTCAGATCATGATCCCAAGGTCCTGGGATTGAGCCCCGGGTTGGGCTCCCTGCTTAGCGGGGAGCCTGATTCTTCCTCTTCCACTCCCCCTGCTTGTGTTCCCTCTCTTGCTGCGTCTTTCTCTGTCAAATAAATAAATAAAATCTTTAAAAATAAATAAATGAAATTTGGGCATAGGCCCTTATACTTATCTCTACTGAATTTTAATGTTTAAAACATGAGTTCATTGGAATATTTTTCATGTAGTTATGTTGCACCATTCCTTTGGTGCCAACACTCTGGTCTTGCTATTAGATTGACTTTTTCTAGATCCATCTTGCCTTTTAGGGTCTCTGGCCTTGGAATCCAATTTCTCATTTGTTTGAGATGTTTGAAAAATTACTCAATTAAGTGTATCACTATAGTATATTGATAAAGGTGAAACTTTGTTACTAGTTAGTAGAGATTCCTTGATGATGATCCCATATGATCTCTCTTGAGTCTAATATTAGGAATTACTAATAGTATAATTTTCAATATTTTGTTTCATGGATGGTGGATTATATAAATCTGTTTCTAATCTATAGTAGCTATGATGTTCCATACAGTTAATAAATAGTGCCTTTGAATTGTAATTCAAAATGGGAGAAACAGGGATAGTCTCCTGCCATTTTAAACTTTTAGAGGAGATAGTTAGAAGGGCGTGTTGAAAATTATAAATAAGAGAACAGAAAAAGAGGTAATGAAAAGAAACTAGATTAAATCTAGAATACTGTATGACCTATTTACTGATCCTAACTTATGCACTGTGTAAAATCAGGTCTGTGTAAAATCAGAAATCACTTCTGCCTTTGTTATGTATTAACAGAATCTTTTTTTTTTTTTAAATAGGTGATATGTGGGGTCGATTTTGGACAAACCTATACTCTCTGATGGTCCCCTTTGGACAGAAACCAAACATAGATGTCACTGATGCAATGGTGAACCAGGTAGGAAGAGGCCTTAAAGACCAAATCTAAATCCTCAACTTCATTTCTTTTTCTGCCATTTTTCTCTCCTTATCTTTTGCATATAAAACCACGTGTATAAAAAAGTGTCAAGTTAATTTAAATGTATTTCTCGGGAGGGCCTGGGTGACTCAGTCGGTTAAGCACCTGACTCTTGGTTTCAACTCAGGTCATGATCTCAGGGTCATGAGATCGAGCCCCAGATCCTTGATCGGCACGGAGTCTGTTTGAGATTCTTTCCCCTTCCCACTCCCTTACCCTCTGGGCCTCCCCACACTGGTGCACATGCATCCTCTCTCTCTCAAATAAATAAGATCTTAAAAAAATAATAAATGTATTTTAAATGTAACTGTCTTTTCATGGAAAAGTAATTTACAATGTCAGTGACATCAAGTACCTTAAAAAGTACGGTGTTGATCTTGCTGAGCAATATTAAAAAATGGAGATGACCTGGGTTTTCCATTAAGCAGTAAGGTATGGAATTATCGACTGGTTGGCATTACTCTTTCCAGAGTTAGTTGCCACTAAGTAATCAGTCTGTAGTCTCTATGAACGGAAAAAAATATCATTAGAAGATTTTTGCATATTTAAAAAATCATTATTGTTAAAAATGTTGTAGGAGTCTTTAAAATAATTTTTAAATTACTTTTTTGCTACCATCCTTGCATAATTGTTTAAATTTACCCTACCATGGGTGAAATCATGTTGTAATTATGTATTTTTCTTTCTTCAGCTAATAGTCTACATTTTTCAGATACAATGTATTGGCATACATCTCTTGGCTGTATAAAATGTCTTCAGAGAGTTGCACCATAATTTCCTTTCCTATTTACACATTGCTAGGTTTTTCTTTGGTAACGGTTTTAAACCTGCAAGCAGCCATGCCGTGAACATCTTCACATATATAACATGCTCCTAGGAAAAGGCCACAGCAGAATAAAAACATGAAGCTACAAGGGCCTCCAAACTCCCACAGCTGGGCTAGCTCGGGTTTCACAGCCTGTCTCCAGGGTTGGTACACGCACCCACTCTCCTAAGGTCATCTTCATGACACACTTTTGAGACTGTCCAGACAGGGATGGGGATGGATCCGTGTTGTAGGTGAGGAAACTGAGGCCTGGGTAAATGTCTTGCCCAAAGTCACAAAGACAGTCAGCGGCGACTAAGGTTTGACTTCAGAACTCCTAATATTTCCAGTATTTTTCCATTGGCATTTAACAGACGTTAACTGTGCTTACTGGTCTACGCTGTTTTGGTATACAGACATTCCTTCTGCTTGAGAATGCCATACCTACAAATACCAATATTGCCTTTAAAGGGCAATAATAAAAAAAAATCCCCAGTTTCACATCCTGTTTCATATCCCTGAGGCAATAGAGGAGAAAAACCAGACTTGCCTGGTCTTTGAGAACAGAGGAAGTTCTCTGGGTCACGAGAAGTGATTGATGAATTATCTGCCAGTTGTACAAACTTAGTTTGCCTCGCAAGGGCCTTATTTCCAAAGAAGTCCTGATCAGATCCCAGAAGAGTTTGCTGGATGCCAGACACCAACTGCTGCCCCTCCCAGTTCCAGAACATTCGGAAACTCGAGATTTCCATATGGACTATGAAGCCAAGGCCCAGCTATTTAATTGGCTACTAGGTCACACGCAGGCCTTTTGGGCTCCAAAAGTCCGTGACTTGTCTGCCCTTATTGTTTGTGTCTCCCACTAAGCCTAACACCAGGGCCTTCTTCCTTAAAGGAGCTTGGTCAAGGATTGTTGGCTTGAGTTGAGTAGTTTTTTGGGAAAGAGAAGGTCATTGTTGTTTGCTTTTACTTGAAATATAAAGGATTAAGACAAAAACATCACACATAATCTCACAGAGTCTACTGTTAATTTTTTGTATGTTTCCTCATCAATATCACATTATGTAAGTGGTTTATATATTCTACTTTTCACTTAATATCAAATTATAAAAAACATCAATAAAAAGTCTTTATGAATTGAATTTATTTAGATTTTCCATTCCACAAAGACATCTTTATGTATATAACCATCTGGTCATGGTTTCCACTTTTTTCTCTATTAAAAATCATTTTACATGTTGTGCACCTTAAATTTATGCAGTGTGATGTGTCAGATATGTTTCAATATTTTAAAATAATAAACAAAAAACAAAAAACAAAAAATTTAAAATGTAATTCTTTGACCTAACTTCTGAGAATTTCCTAGGTTAGTTCCCTAGAGACAGGATTACTGAGACAAAGAGTGTGAACATTTTGAAAACTTGACATGTCTGTACATGTCGCCAAACTGCCTTCCAGAAGTGTTCTGCCTCTGTACATAGCCAACAGAAAGAATGCTGTTATTTTAATGCTAGAAGGAAATGCTGTTCTTTTTTTTTTTTTTTCTTTCAGAGCTGGGATGCAAGGAGGATTTTCGAGGAGGCTGAGAAATTCTTTGTATCTGTTGGCCTTCCCAACATGACTGAAGGGTTCTGGCAAAACTCCATGCTAACGGAGCCAGGCGACAACCGGAAAGTGGTCTGCCACCCCACAGCTTGGGACCTAGGGAAGCGTGACTTCAGGTAGTGAGGGTGACCCTTACACAGCTGATACTAAACTGGGAGACAGTGGAGGCAAGGACGAGGATGGATTTGGATTTCTTCTTTGCTTCTCTGACCACAGAAGAGATGTGTGAACTCTCCTTAAACGAGGGCTCAGGAGTCCATGAGAGCACATCTGAGCTTTTCCAAGAAAAGGGGATTGTCAGCAGGCCCTAATTTGAACTTTAGACAGTCTGCCTTATTTGAAACAATATGCACCCGTTAGATTGATCTGGTCACGGGAAGTGTGGTGTCCCCGTGAGAAAGATTTGGTGCTAAAATTTATGGAAGATGGGTGTGTGAATCAGGCATCGTTCCTCTCCTCCATGCTTCCCTCTTGTGAATGAGACAGGACAGATGAATAAGTAAGCTGGGATAAAAGAGAGAAAGTGGTACATGTTAGAAGAGAACCACAGAGAACACTCTATAGGAAATTGGAAGAGAAAGGACTACACTTGGAATAGGATGTAGGCTCAGACAGGGTTTTTCAGGTGACATTTGAATTAGGCTGGAAAGACGAGAAGGGTTTGGATAGACAGAGCTGGGATGAGGTCACTGGGCTGGGAGAAAAGCAGGATCCAATGCAGAGAGGCAGGACCTGGTACTGTGTACCAGAACCAGCAAGTTGGGCTAGAATAAAGGCCATGTGAAGAAGGGTCTGTGAAATGGCAGAATGAGCACAGGCTTTTGAATCCCAGGGATGTCATTTAATGACTAGGCAGCCGGGACAAGGTATTTAACCTTCTTGGGTTTCATTTTCCTTATCTACAAAGGGGAGTGGTAATTCCCAGGTAGTAGGTTTGTGAGTGTCTTAGGTTGGATTCCCCAGCTTGAGGAGAAGATTCTGGTATAAACGCTTCATTGAGGGACAGACATCAGGCAAAAGGGAGTGAGGGAAGCAGGGTGGACGGGGAAAGAGTTAAGTAAGGATGTGGCCTCTGCTGGAGACTTGGCCTCAGCCTGATACCACGGGGCCTCTCTGGACCCCAGTTTGCACCCTAGTTGGTCACACCTTGAGAAAAGAGGACTGGTCTTTTGTACCCCGACATTAGTCAGTCACTAGCGTGGGAGGACATAATCTCCTGGTTAGCCAAAGGCAGGGCACAAGGAAGAAGCTGTTGGCTTTTAACCTCTATGACTCAGTCTGAATGGGGCATGTAGGGATCTGCCTGGGAGAGCTGGCCTGGGTAGGCCCCCAGCAGCGCCCACTAGAGTAGGGCTTGACGGTCCTGTTCTGGAAAGGGTCAGATAGTAAATAGTTCAGGCTTTGCAGGTCTCTGCTGCAACTACTCAGTTCTGCCCTTGTGGCATCAAAGCAGCCACGGACCGTACATAAATAAATGTTCCAAGAGAGCCTTATTTATCAAAACACTTCGCTGACACCAGTACAGTAAGGCTGAAAAATGAGGGAGTTAATGTAAGTTTCCTAGCCCAGGATATTGGGTACTGTAGACACTGAACACACAGCAGCCCTTCCTGGAATTGTTTCAAAAAAGAATGGAGAAAAACCGGCTTAGAAAAGCAGGTCTTACTGGGCTGTATTAAGGAGGCTGAGTTTCTTCTTGAGCAGTGGGGGACACTTACAGGGTATTTATCAGGGGGATGGCATGGTCAGAGGGGTAGGAAAATTAATTTGGGAACCTACTGAAATACACCGGCTGCATTCACTGGAATGGAACTGCTCTGGCCAAGTTGAACAGGACCATAGTCTCATTGCCAAATGGAGTCCTTATCGCATTGGGCCACTGCGGTCTTAGACAGTGTTTACAGGTTTTCTTCGAAATGCCATTTTTTTCATTGGCTTCTGCATTGTTGTGCTCTTCTAGACTTCTTTTTTTTTTAATTTTTTAAATTTCTTTTCAGTGTAACAGTATTCATTGTTTTTGTACCACACCCAGTGCTCCATGCAATCCGTGCCCTCTCCAATACCCACGACCTGGCTCCCCCAACCTCCCCCCCCCCGTCCCTTCAAAACCCTCAGATTGTTTTTCAGAGTCCATAGTCTCTCATGGTTCACCTCCCCTTCCAATTTCCCTCAACTTCCTTCTCCTCTCCATCTCCCCTTGCCCTCCATGTTATTCGTTATGCTCCACAAATAAGTGAAACCATATGATAATTGACTCTCTCTGCTTGACTTATTTCACTCAGCATAATCTCTTCTGGACTTCTTTGACCTCTCTCCCTCTCTCTTTCTCTCTCTCCCTCTCCATCTTCTCTGAATCATCTTTCTCCCCTCCATCTGTACTGGGACCTCTTAGGGCTCTGTTTTTGGCCCTCTTTCCTTGCCATTCTTTACCTGCTTCATGGGCCGTCACATCTACTCCCTGAATTACATGCTAATGACTCCCACATATCAAGCCCCTTCTCCTCCTACTTCTCTTATCTTGGCTCTACCAAATCTCCTGCAGTGTCCTGAATGCTACACCCTTTTCTCAAGCCTTTCTCACCGAGCACTTCCAGGAATGTCAACGTCTTGCCCCTCCCTGCCATCTACTTGGCAAACTTCTACATGTTGATCAAGGTCCGGGTTGCCTGGACCGTTGCATTCTCAGGTATGCCCTTCTCTGTGCTTCTAGGAGACTGTGCCTACATTCACTTACTGTTTAAGCCCAAGGCCCTGTCTACTGATCACTGACAGAGTACTTGCCCGAGGGTTTTTCTAGTAGAAGACTCTGCTTATCTCTCTCTTAGTTTGTGAGCAATAGGATTCAGCCCCGCCTATCACTTTATTTTGAGTACCTTGTACTGTTTCTAGGACATAAAAGGTAAGTCCTCAAGGCTCATCGGGGAACAGATCTTGGAATGATGATCTATGCTACCAAAATCCTATACTGCACTTACTGTGATGATTAAATTAAATTCATTGAGATTCGTTTTCCATCTTGCCTGTTTTTGTGCAGGATCAAGATGTGCACAAAGGTGACTATGGATGACTTCCTGACAGCCCATCACGAGATGGGACACATCCAGTATGACATGGCATATGCCGCACAACCATTCCTGCTGAGAAATGGAGCTAATGAAGGGTTCCACGAAGCTGTGGGGGAGATCATGTCACTTTCTGCAGCTACACCCAAGCATTTGAAAAACCTTGGTCTTCTGCCACCTGATTTTTCTGAAGACAGTGGTATGGACATTTTTCTTCATGGCTTGTTTTGGGGAGTCTTAGTTGGCTGTGGGCAAAAGCATTTATTATCATGTGTGGGATATATTTAATTTTTGCCACATAAAGCATGTGGTATTTATGGGTAACTGGGAATTGCTCCTGGTAAAAAAATATTTTTGAAAGATTATATCACAACAGGGGCCACCTGGGTGGCTCAGTTAGTTAAGTGTCTGCCTTCAGCTTGAGTCGCGATCCCAGGGTCTGGGATCGAGCCCTACATCGGGCTCTCTGCTCAGCAGGGAGCCTGTCTCCATGCTTGTGCTTCGCTCTTTCTTTCTTTCTTTCTTTCTTTCTTTCTTTCTTTCTTTCTTTCTTTCTTTCTTTCTTTCTCAA